CACAGCACCACTTCCGGCATTTTTCTTTTTTCTTATGTGGTGCTGAGGAATCGAACTCAGGGCCTCAGGCATGCAAGGCAAGTGCTCTACCACTGAGTCACCCTCCCAGCCCCATCTATGTCAGTTTCTATGCTTACTACATAACCAAATAAATACAGAACATTTCATAAACAGAAATTAAAATCAGATTTAGCTTTAACAAGAAACTAACCAGCCTTGAACCGGACTTTTCTGATTTAACCTGTATTACAGCTCTCTCACAAAGAAAAATTAGGAAACAAACTACCATATTTTCATGTTAATTTTTTTCTAATTTTGGAATTTAATAAGCCACATATTCCTCTTCCCATCTCCAAATTCCCTAGACTCTTTCCCTTCCCATTATGAACTCTACCTGTCCTGTTAAGTTCTACAAGTTCTTTTCCTCTCTCTTCCACACGCGAGCGTGGACACATGGAGACACGGACACACACAAACACATTTTTGGGGATGGGGTCACTCATGGAGCTTGAACTCAGGGCCTGGGCACTGTATGTGAGCTCTTTTGCTCCAGGCTAGCACTCTACCACTTGAGCCACAGCTCTACTTCCAGTATTTTGAATGGTTAATTGAAGATAGATTCTCTGCCCAGGCTGGCTTTGAACTACAATCCTCAGATCTCAACCTCCTGAGTAGCTATGATTATAGGTGCGAGCCACTGGAACCCAGCTACAAGTCCTATATTTAAATCTTAAATATGATAGGCTATTTAAAAATGATAGATTGTTCTTTAAAATATAGGACATAATTGTAATTCAGGACTAACTAGTTCTACCTGTTAACAGAATACAACCAGATTCACAAAACACACTAACAAAGGAGAAGGATTATGATCACCATGCTTTCCAAGAAAACTTGCTCCTGCAGAAATTCTGTTTATAAGGGTCCAAGCAACAGACAGTACTTGACTTACACTGCTACAATCTCGCTCAGGCCTGTAATGATGAGGAGGGAGTTTTCAAGACCAGCAATGGCATCCTGAATTCCACCACCAGCTCTACAATTTCTTATTTGCTAAGTGGTTCTGGCTGAGACCCTGAACTTCTCTGTGTATCTGACTTGTTCAAAAAAGTAGCTCGATGGGGAAGGAGTTATGAAAATTTCATCAGTTTTGAGATCCAAAACTATAAACAAATATTTGCTACCAAAGACATGATAACATAAAATTGAAATGTGTTCAGTGAATTCTCTTTATTGAAACAGAAGACATCCCACCCTTCAAAATACCATTCACTGTGTCTGATTTCCAAATTCATTACAGGAAGAAGTGGGTATGAAGTCATCCAAGCATACGCACCCTCCACTTCCCTTAATTGAAAGTTGCTGATTTCCGAGGAGCCAGTGGCTGAGCTGAAAGTCAGCCTAAAACCTCAATCAGTAAACAACCCCCGATCCAAACTGGCCAAAGAGGAAGGCGAGGTGGGCGGAGGGGACAGGAAAAACTCGGCTGGCCGCGGCACCAAGTCCAGGCACCCGGAGCCCGCGAGGTGACCCAGTCATCCCCTCCCACCCTGACTGTAAGATCTGCGGTGTGGGCCTCGACACCAGGCGCACAGAACTCCTAAAGAAACCGGGGCTGCGTCTGGGACTCCGGACTTTCGGCTGCTGGGGTCCGACAAGGCGCGGGGATGACCGCCCGCCGCCCCAGAGGAGAAGCCCGCGACGGCCCCAGGCGTGGCCTCGTCCGTGGCCCCGGCCGGGCCCTTCGTCCCGGCAGCTTCGCCCAGGCCAGTCCCCGACACGCCCCTCACTCCCTCGTTGGACCCCCCCCACTCCCTCGCCGGGACCCCCATTCCCCGCTGCCCCCCCCCCGGGCTCACTGTCTTGGCTGATTCGCTGGATGTTCCCTTTGCATGTCTGGATGATGCTGTTGAAATCCCGGAGCTGGGGCCCCGAAGGCCCCGGGTTCCGATACATGTCTAAGGGACCGTAGGACATGACCGGGGAGCTGACACCGGCAAGCCCTGCACCGCGCTCCAACCGGAAGCAGCCACGAGCTGAGACCCACGGGCTGAGATGGAAACCGGGAAGAGAAAGGGCGGGGAAGGGGCTGAGGGTGCGTGCGCACTGGCCCCACCCACACGTACGGCGCATGCGTCCGTTCTGCCCCCCCCCCTACCCCCGAGGTGCGCAGGCGCAACTGGAATTGATGCTTGCCCGGTAGCTTAGATACCGGATTCCTTCCGGCTAAGAGATGAAGGGCGGGGCGATGACGTCATACTGCGGGGCCTAGGATTGGCCGAGCTTGCGCGGCGGTGCGGTTTCTCTCCGCGGCACCGGGACCCGGAGACTGGAATTTTTCAGTTTGCATAAAATTGTACCAGATGTTCTCAGCCCTGACATCCTATTCTGAGCACTCAGGCCCAAACACGAGAGACCTAAACTAACTGGAGACTCATCCGTAACCGAAGCCTGACTCAAAATTCCACTCTTTCCATCCTCGATGGCGTTGGTCGTATTTGAGGACTAATCGGATGGTTCGCAAACCATTTTCATATCTCCCTCCACTCCTCTTTTTTTCTCTCTCTCTTTTTTTTTTGGCAGTACTGGGATTTGAACCCAGGACTTTAGGCTTGCTACACCGGCTCTCTACCTCTCGGGTCACACTTCCAACCTTTTCTAGCTCTCTCCAGTCCTATCCACCCTTCTTCTAGTCTAAGAATGCAATAATAATCATATTTGTTCTGCACGGACAGCATGTGAATCCTAGCTGCAATTCACTCCCTCACCGCAAAGCACTTTGACAGCAGGGACTATGTTCTATTTGTAGTTTATCGTTGAAATACGTAACAGATAGTCGAGTTTGAAAATATTGATGTAAAGTCCCCAAGCAAAGTAAGTATCACTTCTGCTTATACTGAGAAAATTAAGACCACAGATGGTTGTTTATTGAAATTTTACTGCAAAACCCAAGCACTAAATTGACTCTATTACCTTGCTGATTCCCTAAACTCATTCCCATGTTCCCAAATTCTCTAAATTCCTCCCAAATAGCCTGTTCATCATACCTCAAGTAAGGATTTATTGGAGAACTTGATTCCTAAAATTTAAAAATCGTTCCCTTAAGCAATTTGGAGTGTAACCGCAAGATGCTGGCATGGAAGATTTCCTTTTGTCAGCTTTTGGTAAAAGGGAAGACATGGATTCTGGCTTGGGAGGATCCAAGTGAGAATGTGAAGGTCCATTAGCAGTTTTCTATGTTCTCTGCTCCACCCAAATTGACTCCTTTTGCAGTTTCAGAAATCAAAGAGCTTGCTTTTTTTTTTTTTTTTGTCGGTGGTGGGGCTTGAACTCTGAGCCTGGGCACTGTCCCTGCGCTCTACAGCTCAAGGAGAGCGCTCACCCCGCAGCAGCTTGCCTTTGTAGGAAGGGCCCCCAAACCCATGAAAAAGCCTGTATTCAGTCTTAGAGGCTCTTAAAGAAAGGCATCTCTTTTTCCTTGGTGCATAATTATGAGAGCTTTGTTTTCCTTTTACTGAAAATGACAGGTGCATGCATTATGTTCATAAATTGACATGTTGAACTGAAACTCCTCCATAGGGCCCTTGCCTAGTAAGTGAGAGACTGTATTCACTCTCCAATACTAAGAAAAAATAAATCCAAACAAGACAATAAAAATATAAATGGAGCCAGGCGCTGGTGGCTCACGCCTGTAATCCTAGCTACTCAGGAGGCTGAGATCTGAGGATTGTGGTTCAAAGCCAGCCCAGGCAGGAAAGACTGTGAGATTCCTATCTCCAATAAACCACCAGAAAACCGGAAGTGGCGCTGTAGCTCAAGTGGTAGAGTGCTTGCCTTGAGCTGAAGAGCTGAGGGACAG